ATCCGTTGCGCCTGTCCCCTGCGCCCGTCCGCGCTGCCGGCAGGCCCGGGCCTGGTGGTTCCCTCCTGTCCCCGTCCCCTGGCGAGTCCCATGTGAGGAGAGGTGGGCAGCCCCTCCGCAGCAAGACGGCCGCGGCCCTGCCCGCAGCTGCTCAGCAGGACTGGGAGGGAGCTGCCCTACCTCGCCACTGCGGCTGGGCTGCCAGGCTTAGCATCAGCAGAAGATCCTGACGGCATCGAAATCTTCCTCTTTCAGGCAGGGCGCAGCTCTTTGTTCACAGAGGAATGATGCCAAGTTTCTGTTGTCTGACCAGTGGCTGCTATAGGGGACCACAGGGCTCCAGAGACTGGGCGAGCCTGACTATTACGCTTGCTCACATCTTTGTTGACAAACAGTGCTTTCCAGATGCTTAAGTGATAACTAGAACCATGCAAAACCCACTACCAAACAATTTAGAAGAGAGTAAGTTTCGGTATTTGGTCCTACAGGAGAGGAAAAGGGGAGGAAAAGCTCAGTGGCTTCTTCAGGCCTGTCACAGGAAGGAAAAAATATTTCCTGGTGGAAATCCAGTAATTAATTTGCCCTTGAGGCTGTGAGCCAGGCAAATGAAGCAGGTGTCCAAAATATTTCTTGGTATTACCAGGAGGATAGGTGTCTCCTGCAAGCATCCTGTCCCTTGTCACTGTCTGCATGTGGGGCTTCACCGGATGATGACTTCACTGGGACTCTTGGGCTTTGTTTACATGTTAAGGAAGAAATAGATCTACTCTGCTCTGTGATACTTGGTTTATGCCCTCAGAGGATATCCTGACTGAGGATAAAACACATTTCTGTATCTTGGTGTATGATTTGATAATTAAAATACATACATTATTGGACACTGTTGACAAACTGATTGATGAGACTGAGTGTAACAAAATAACAGTAGCATCTTTTTCATAATTTTATTAATAATCTACAAATAGATACAGAGAACATTTTCTGATAAGACTTTGTGGACAGATCAGTGACTGTTGAAAAGGCATACAAATTTATCGATACAGAGCAATCCTAATGACCTTGAGAGTGTACCTATGAGTTAAAATACACATCAGTACAATCATCACATCCCAGAACAAGAAATCTAGACTGTATCTGCAGGACTGAAGTGAGAGAGAGGGACTGCGGAGACATTCAATGTCCAGGTATCTCCAAAGGCAACAATGGCGAAAAGAACGTTCTGTGGTTGCATCAGCAGGAGCAAGCATAAAGAGGTATTTTACGGCTATAAAAGTTTTGGTGAGAGTTGGTACTGAAATACTACATATGGTTCTAAAATCTGGAGTTTTATGGGGTCTGCAGACTTCTAAAAAGAGCCACCAACATTATTTGATGGCTGGAGAAAGCTCCCTTCTCAGTGAAAGTCTGACATGCCCAATCTGTTTAGCTCATAAAGGAAGGTGACTTGATTACATCATGAAATTGATCTGAAAGAAAAACAGTATGAAGTACTTGAAACATAAAAACATCACAAAGCCCAGTTGTTTAAAAGCTAAAGGTAGAATTACTACCTGTAAGAGTTTTTTTGGGTTTTTTCCTCTTGGTTTCTTCAGCTCAGGATAGTGCCTTTTTAGATGCTCTTTACACTTACACTATCATTCAAACACATGCTGCTATGTGTAGGAAGGCAAGCCAGATCTTGAAACCACTGATCTTTAATTCTTATAAATGCTCATTAATTGCGTCCTTAAAACTGGTTTTGTCTTCACCCAAAAATAGAGATCTTTTTTTCTGTGTTTGACTAGAGAAGCTCTTTTATACTATATTGGGTAAAACCACAATGTAACCAGGACATCTTCCTGCTATCTTACTGATTACAATTTTTAAACTATATTTTACAGTTCATGAAATGGTTGGCTTGGCTTGGCAGGATATCTGCATAGTTAGCACTGTTTGAAATTATATATCCAGCTGTTGTCAAGATTTTGTATTTTCTGTATTTGTTAGTAGATCAAAACAAGTTCAGCTACGTTTGTGCCATATCTGAATGTTTCTAATTTCATCCAGTAATTTAATTTTATCCATGAGCAGCAGAGTAGCTACCAGACTGTATCTCTTCATAAATCCTTACTGTTTATTGAGATGTTTATACATTGTAGTGTGATATTACAGTGTATTCATAGAATTGAGCCATATTATTTATAAAGTTATACTTCAGTAATATTATTACAAAGTAATCGATACCATGTTACTGGAATGTATCTCTCACATTTTATCATATATGATACATAGAGTTTTAGTGTAGTTTGTTGGCAAATGAAGGCATGTAAATTTAAGACAATTCTTCCTCACAAATGCTGTAGAATTTGTTTCCCTAACTTAGAAAGAAAAGGCAACTCGATCAGCTTTTGCTTAAGCCAAACTCTGTTGCCATTACTAGCATTGAGACTTTCAGCTGTTATTCCTAGTAGGAAGCTTTGTGATGGACATGACTGTACTTGGGGAACAACTACAGAAAATTGGTGTAACTGGGGACTTTCTCACCATGCTGGTGCTGTGGGACAGCAGGTAGTGTAGCAGGAGTGGTGATACTCTGTAGTGAGTGGCGCAGCTTGGGAAGGTGAGGTTTCTAGTAACCAGTATATCTGGGTATGCCTTGGGGCTCATAAAGGGGCTGCCTGTCTTTAAGGCAAACTAATTTACAATTTCAAGAGACACTGGCGCATCCTAAAGCCGTGCTTGGCTTGCCCAGGAGGTGGTAGTGGTGCTGCACAAGACGTCTGTGTCATCAGCCGTGTTTAACTAGCAAGCCAGGAAACTGATTCTCTTGTAGAACCACAACTATGTCTCTTTTTCACAGTCTGCTGCGTTATTTTTATAGCTAGAGCTTATGGGAACATAATTATTTTTTTTTTTTAGATAGCTGGGACTATACAGTCTTTTAAAACATGTATGAGTTATGGTGAATGAGTACGCTTAAATCAGCAATACTCTGCATTCCTTAATGTTAAATCCTGAAACAGCTAAGGGTCAGACATCGGAGTGCTCAGCAACAATTAATGCCATAAAGACATTATTATATCCAAATGGTTTAATGCCCTCATTTTCAACTTTGTATGGATGGATTGTTGTGCTCAGCACAGGGACCTAGTCACCAGCAAAAAATTGGCTTCTGCAAACAAAACAGTCTGTCCTCATGACAAGAAATTGCAATCCAAGTCTGGGCCAGAATGGAGACATTGGATTTTTTTGGCTTTTCTGGTAGCCTGCCTCCCTGGCAGGCATTGCCCTGTTACTAGGACAGTATGTCAGGCTTGAAAGGCATTGGTATATTCATTTGGATCAAACCATCAAGAAAATATCATACTAATACTTCAGTTTTGAGGGTTGTTTTCCTGAAGATGTTGTTTGGTTTTTTTTCTTTCGGTTGATTTGTGCCTCCAAGCAAAATTTGCTTTAATTTAAAAATTTTTTTTACCATTTGTTGTCATGAGCAGAGCTGTCAACTTCATCGATAGATTCAGTTATGCAATATTTCCCATTATGAGGCATTTTGTTGTTGTTGCTCCTGCAAAATTTGTTTCTATAAGTTGAATTTTTTTCTACACTGGCTGTTTGGCTCTGGCTGGACTTTGGAAAGCTTCAGAAGTTTGACGCTTACAAAATCAAGTTATAGGAATAAATGCTGATCGGCCAGGCACATCATTGAAATATACAGCTATTCTGTTGAGAGATTCAACTACCTCTTCATTTTAAAGCACAGACTCAAAACTTCTTAGGGGAGTTCCACTTGTTTTAAGGCTTTACTTTTGCTGTTCTACTCTCCTGGAATTTGGCCTAGCTTTAGGGTTTTGAAATACCAGCTTACACAGAATTTTGTGTGGCAGTGAAGTCAGTTGTGCATGTGCACATTTCCAAACATAATTTAACTCTCTACAACCCTGGTAGTCAACAAGGATTGTGGTTCTAAGCAAAGAAACAGAGTTCAAACATGTTCTGTGCTCTGAATGATTGTAGTAATTATGCCCCATCAGTGAAAAGGCATGGTGACTAAAACTGAGGAGGAAAAGTGAATCAGAACTGGATGAGGAATAAGAACCAGGGTGGGGCAACGTGAAGATAAGGAGAAAATGTCAGAATTAGGAAGAATGGACAGAAAGCTTGCATCCATTAGGATGTCGACAGTTCAGAAGGGTCTGAGACTCTTGGATTTCCATTCCCTACAATTGACGGCTTGTGAGAGCTGACAAAATGCCAGCTTACGTGGGAAATGACAACCTGCCACTGTGATCATTTACTTTACTGGCACAAGCAGCAGGTTGGTTTGATGGGTCTTAATCAGGCCTACACAACAGTTTGTCAGATGGTATTTTCAGCTTAATGTGAGTCTTCTGTTGGGAGCAATATGCCAAGTCAAGGTGCAGCTTCTTTCTCTGAGGCGTTCTGCCATCTGCGCCAGGGAGCATGTCAGTGCTAGAGGCCTGGGGACTTCAGAAGGCAGCAGCTGGGACACTGGTTCTTCTTCTCAGGGTGCTGGGAAGTCTGTTGCTGAGACTCCTTACGTTCAGAAAGGGTTTGAATGGCAGAAAAGTGGAGAAGAGTTTGAAAAGTAGGAAGCAAGGGCCATTGCAGTGGGCAGAGGAGCCTGGGAGGATTAGGAGGGGAGCTTGAAGCAGTGAGCCAGAAGTGTGGGAGGTTTGGGAAGCAGGAACTAGAGGTTAATATGGGAACAGCGTGGGGGTATTTTGTGTTTGTGTGTGGGGAGGGACCTGGGGAGTAAGGAACAAGGAAGACTGCTCTGATGGATTGTGGGGTTGTCATGGGGGAGAGGAGACCTAAGTCCTGCGGTAGTGAGGGTAGACAGAGGAAGGGTATTGTATGCGTAGGGAGAGGGAAACTTGTAATGAGTATGTGAAAGAAGAGGGAAGAAATATTAGGTGCAGCTGACAGCAGTGATGACTGTGTGTCTTTTCCCCAGTACAGGGTTTCTACCAGCTGCACGCTGTGCACTGGCTGGGGTTTGTGGCATCCAGTTAGCAGTCACCCCCAAAGAGCCAGGGGGCTGCTCTGTGCTGGTGAGCCACTCAGCTGTATCCCACAGCTGCAGTCTTTGGTGGGCCACCCACAGGGGACCTGCACGCTCCTGGTCTGAGTGCTCTGTTCAGAACACAGGATTTACAATAATCAAGAATATGTAGTTAAAAATAGGCTGTTGTTTGTAGGTCCTGTGTCTCTGCCTGCCGAATTTTAAAGGAAAGTGAGCTGAAAGAAGAGGAAGAGAGCTTTGCAAGAGGGCTACTGAATATCACTATAAAGATCTGGATTTACTCTCCTGTGTAGGAGTATCTACATACTGTGAGTGAGGTAGAGTTGTGTACAGAAAAAAAGAAAACTCAGAGCTTCTCTAAGCATTGGATCAGCTGTTAAACATAGAGCTAACTGCCCCGTGGGACTTGTCACTGAAAACTGACCAAAGAAGCTCTGATTCAGCTGGAGGTAATTTTGCTGCCACTGGGGCATGTTTAGATTGCTTTTAGGAACTGTCATACATTCCTACGTTTTGAGAAATCATAGCATGTTGGCTTGGGACAGCTACCATTCCTAATCAGTGTTTCTTAGGCCATATGAGTAGTTTTCTGGGGGCAGTCAAAACCAGAAAAAAGTAATTTGAGGCAGTGGTGCTTATTTACAAAGAGGGTTCTGATTATTTTCTGCCTCTTCTGACGTTAACAACATCAGAACTTTAATTAGTCACTTGGACACCTTTGGACCTCTTTGTTCCTTTGCCCTCCTGTAGAACAAGGGATAATAAAGCTACCTTATGTTGTAGAAACTAATACTTAAAAAATGCTGTGATACAGTAGTGATGGATATCAAGAAAATGACGAATTCTCTCTTTAAAATAGAATTTGAGGCATCCATGGCAAATAGTGAGTTCCACTGACATAGAACCAGATTGTGAATATCTGGGATCAGAGCAGTATCAAGGGCTGTTGAAGTCTGGCTTTGTCATGCCATGTTCTACATTCATCCTGTGAACCTAGAAGTTGCCCACAGTTAACATTTTTAATGCTAAACTATGATAGTTATTTTTGATAGCTACACTGTACATGAACCTTTAAAAGCGTTAACTATGCTGTAGTAGCTGTAGAATTTACATGCATTGATGTGCTCTCTTTACCAATATACACATGTACAATTTGCATAAAATGCAAAATATGCTCATCGCTGTTCCAAACTTTTCCATCCTTCATTTTACTGACAGACTTTCAGACACATTTTCCTGAAGTGAGAGAATTTCTGGAGTACGCACGTAGCGGTGAGAGATGGCAACCACCCATCCTGTGGCGTGAACGAACTTGTTAAATGTTCCCTTCTACATCATGTTAGTCACTACTTGAGCAGTGAGACAGCTTTCATGTGGTTTAGCATCCTGTTCCTGGTGATCAGTGTTGTCTCACGGCCTACAGCTGATCCAATGCTTAAAGAAACTGAAAGTCCTTCTACAGATGTTTCCTCTGAAAATGAAACTGAAATGTCTCTTACAGTAATTGTCTTGCATATCCTTGCAGCTGTCTCCAAATTAAGTCAGTTTGCATCCTTGGCCAGCAAATGGCACTTTGCAGAGGCTACTAATAAAAGAAGATTATATCAGATAGGCACTTAGAACTCTCTTTACCAGTGTTGCTATTTATATGTCACTTGAAGGAAAAAAAATGTGGAGCTAATGGTTCATATTTCTTTAAATGCTAAATTTCATATAAAAAATACTGTGGTATCCATCTGAACATGATGGGGAAACCAAGATGACAGGTTACCAAGAGTATACTAAGATACAGGAGGTTTGGAAGCCTAAGTACATGATTCTTGTTCCACACAGAGGTATCAATGTCATGCTTGGGCTCTGGGATAATTTTTATTCATTCTACAAATCTATGGGAGGTTTTTGACTGGTTGTTTTTTAAATTTTTCTTTCAAGTGTTTTAACAATTTCATCTTACTCTTCTTAAGTGCAGTGCTATCTACATCCTTTACGTACAAAGGAGAAAAGGTATAGTTGATATGTTGTGCTGTTTCATATGCTGGATTTTTTTCTGGAAGGATTTTGATTCCACATGTTCCTTTGTGAGAAGGTTCCACTTCTTCAGTGTAGTTATAGACCCAAAGTCTTTCCAAAGCCTTAGAGCTTCAAGGAGCATTTAGAACTTATCTTGGTACTTTGTTGACTCAGGGATAGGTGATGGATTCTGATTAGGTCCCCTGAGATGATGCGAATGTTTGTCCTCATCTTGGTCAAGCCTAGTAATTTCACATAATTTGGTGAGATGTTAAAATACACTGTTCAGTGGCATTTGACCCTGTAATATTATCAGTGGAGCAAGATTAAAACAAAAAGCAATGAATGTCAGTGGGAACACGATGATGTTTATTGTCAGCGACCATTATAACAGGCATTATTTGATACCATTGCAGTATCTTTTGAGTTAAGCAGCTGAGCCTATAATCACACTAATTATTGAGATGCAGCCTGCTTTTCTCTGAGTTTTTAGCTACCTGCCAGGTCAGTAATGTACTGATCTTTCCCAGTAGAGGTGCAAGCAAGAGCATGTGTAGGCAAATACCTGTTTTTCCTGTGTTTGGCAAGAGGATTTAACGTGTAGTTTTTAATTGAATATGGGAAGGCACAGTGTTTTACAGCATAAGCAAGGATGGACAGCTAATCAGCTAAAGTGCAGCTGAGAGCTGAGCCTTCTGAGTTCAAAGGCTTGGTGGGTTTTTATGTTTGCTATTTTTTAGGCAGCAGTCTTAAAATCTCCTTGGGATTTGCCAGTCAAGCAAATAAACATGAAAAGCTAAATATGTATCCAAACTGCTGCAAGCAGTGCTGATCCAGAGATTTTATCTAGAGCCACAAAGCAGATGTCTTATGTATCTAACATTTTTTACTCTTTCTATGCTCCCTCCCACACCTGATGAAACTATTTAGCTTTGAAATGTTGGAAGGCCACATACCTGAAGCAGCAGTGGGCTTGTTTAAACATCATTTTCTAGTATTAGTTTTATAGATTCAGATATGACTAATGAGGAAATTTCTTCATTCAGTGTTTGTGGATGAACAATTTTTACTAGTATGAGGAACAAAGCTGGTATGAGGAGGTCATGTCACCCAGCGAACAACTCAGTCCCCAGAGTGAGTCATGACACTGATATCTTAAGCCACAGAAAGAAAATGTGGTAGCAAAACTTAAACATGGGGTTTTTTCAATTCTGTCCTTTTTTTGAGATCTTTCCAAGCAGGCTTATTTCACTTACACTCATGGTGTTAATATTTAGGGTATTCATTTGGGCTCCCCACCTCCCTTTTCTGTAATAGAATCAGGACAGTAACTGCCTGGTAAATCAGAATAGTGAGCATAGGAAATACCATCTGCGTATCTCTAGTTGAGTTTTCATAGTACATTTCTCTTTTTTTTAGTCATTTTGGGGATTCAAATACACACTGAAGCAGTGGAAAAGGTAGAGGTTTTTGTAGTGTTGAATTATATTTTTCTTCCAGAGATGGTGTTTCCATTGGAGCTAGAGAGAGCAGGCACAACACAGCACAATTATTGTAACGTCAGTGGGTCTAAAGACAGTAAATGCACCCCTAGCTCTGATGTACATAGGCAGGCCCATTCTACAGCACAGTCTTCTCTACAGTAGAGTTGCTGTCTGCATGGAGAGTAGTTTGCTCCACACTCTTCTCCCAGGATCACTGCTAAAATTGGAAGGGCAGGATATTTGCAGTTGACAAAGCTTTTAGTGGCAGATTCAATTAAGTCAGTAGATCTTTCCTAATTCCATTTCCCACTGCACTAAAAACTCCCTACCAGTAGATGATGATGCTTTTCAAACCATGAAACCATCTTAAAAATTTAATCTGGATAATATGTAAAACCAGTAACAGAATCAGAGTTAAATAAAATATAGACATGGTTTCAGACTAATACAAAACAAGGCCAAATTAGGCTGTGATATAATTTAAGGCTAACCTTGAGGGAGCTCTTGTCAGGAACTGTAGTGCAGTGATTGAAATATTAGATCAGCTATGTTAGTCCTGGGTTGGGATTTTTAATGAAACCTCTTGGGAGATAATATTTCTAGATTTCTTTGGAGCATCTGTATAGATCTGAGAAGGGAAATACTATTTTTTTTTAAACTCTAAATCACCAATAAGTCTCTGTGGACAAGTCCTATTATCAGTTGTATTAATAATATAAGTGATTTTAGTACAGAGCATTCAGTAGGCATTGATCACTTCTCTTTTGGAGCTACCTTTTGGACTCTTTTGGAGTCAACATTTAAGATAGTATATTTGCATTTACATGGTATTAAAGGACTCTGTGTGTCTAATAAGACTAATTAAGAACCTTGTACAGCAATTTGTTGATTGGACAAATTGCTGAAAGTGAGGAGGAAAATTTCATCATAAGTAAATGTCAGTATCCTTAGCACAGAAACAGGAAGAGAGGAAGGAGAATATAGAATAATAGAAGGAAGGATATCAGGCGTGGTTTAACCTGCAGATGAGAGTTAACAATTTGGGGTCTACTTAAGGAAGAAATGTAAAATTGAGTCAATGTATATCACATACCACATGGATATGCTAAACTGCACAAAATGTATATTCACCTCACAAGAAACAGAATAGTCTTGTGGAGCTGTTTATTTTCATAGACAAATTGGCCTCTGTATCTGTCTTCGAAGCTGTAAAAGTGTAAGCCAGCGTAGAGCAGTTAGGTGACATCATTTAGACTTCACTTGATTTGCTTTTGTGTAAAAATGTATTTAACAGAGATTGTAACTTTATTTAAGGGCTTTTCATGTAATAACATACCCTTTAAGTGCAGTTTAAATAGTTTTTCTTTATAATTTTATTTTTTCAAATATGTCTATCTTTTTGAATGTTTTTCCATTAAGGTAGACATCCATTTGAGGTAACTTCAAGTGTGTACATAGTTCACTTGGGTGCGGACAAGTCTCCGAGATGTCCCTTGGGCAGAAATGCCCATTGAAAGCTGCATCATTCACACAGGTAGCATAAGGCTGTGGGCACCAGCAGAAGGGCTCTCCATGTCTAAATAGAGCCATGTTTAAGGTATGGGTACAAGCTGGATGTAGGGTGCAGAAAAGCTCTGTGCCTTAAGGTTTCAAAGGCTGGCTATGCATTTAAGCTATTTAGGAATCCTACGTTTCTGGTTTTGTACTGTTGCTTGTGTGGTCAGGTTTGATTGGCCTTCTGCTTCATGCAAGCCTCTCAAAACAGAGGACGTGCAGCTAACTCGGGCACGCACCCATGTTCAGACTTTGCTCAAGCTTGTGGGAAAAGGCAATGGAGATAAGATGCCTGGTATTTGTTTGGTGATCCTATGTAGGCAGTTACTGACACCTCTCATGGAAGAGCTAGGCTTTGCTAGATAATATCTTCCAGACAAAAGATCTTTAGGGATTACCTGGAGAGGGTGACTTAAAACCTGAAGGCCTGAGGTATGGATAGGGCTTTTCTTCTGCCGGGAATTTGCAGTTTAACCCTGGGCAGAGTTACTTATCTCTTGCTCTTGCTCCCCATCTGCAGAGTGGGAATACCACAGGGTAGAAGCTAACCCGCACGGAAGTACTGCCAGATTCTCAGACAGGAGCATATATGGAAGGAGGGTGCTTGGTCACTCATCTAAGTCATTTAGTTTACCCATTGCCGCTTAAAATAGCATCAAGTCAGCGTGACGCATGCTCTGCTATGTTGTGGCCCACATAGCATATGCTGATGTACAAGCTGCGAGCCCTCTGTTCCTCTTCCCTACCACGGCCGTCAGACATTGCCTTCCTTCCTGCGTGCTGTCGCAGGCTGACCCTCATGTTCAAATGGTGCAGGTGGAGTGCGTGGAGGAGATGACGGAGCCAGGAGTTTCTGAAGCCCACAGCTTCAGAGAGTTTCAGTTTACAGAAGAAATGAATATACATCAGGTAAATCTGCACTGTAAATGAAACCTTAGGACATTTCTACAGTGGTGACTAATCCTGTACACGCTGTGACTCAGCTAGTGAAGCATCTATCAGGAAAGATCCCAGAGCACTCAGTTATAAACCAGTAAATAAAAATATCTTGTTTTCTGTAACAAACAGAATCACTGAATCTAACTTGATCACCTGTTCCTTACCCCTTCAAAAATAAGCCACCCAAATGTTTATAGCCGTGCCAGAGATGGAACATCATTTATAGTAAACACACCCTTTGCCTTAAATTCACATGTGTTTGCCTCCTGATTCTTGCTCTGAGTTCAAAATCTTAAAACTCTGAAACCTGATTGACTCCAAATCATTTTGTAAAAACTTGCTTTTGGTCTGCTTTGTGGTTTATGGGCTACATGGTGATGAAACCAGATGTAATTCATCAGATTTATATCATTGGTAAGCTGCGTATGTTGGCTGAGGGTATCTAGAAGAAACTGTAAGACACACAGGTTTTTTTTTATGGACTTGGTAACAGAAATTAAAATAAGTACATTATTCATAGTTTGGTTACCCCATAATAAAAAACCCCACAAAATTCTAGGCTGAATCCAGACTTGACATCTGATTTATTCTAAAACATGAACCAAGGCATGCAGATCCTATCACAAATTTCTGCAAAGCTGTTAGGTTTATTATGCTTTTCCATATTTTATTATTTCAGGGTTTTAATTTGTCTTTGAAAATAACATTTACAAGACAAAAATGAGTTGGTAAAGAAATTCTAACAACAATCACAGTTTCAAGGAGTTTTTGCTGGCTTTTTGTCTGAGTCAACCCCTAAAATAGCAAGTGCAAATTTTCTTTCTCCCTCCTTTCAGCTCAGGTTGTGGCATTTACTGCAAATTAATATTTAAGGCTACATCTCATACTTTGGGCTTGCTTTGTGGTTTATAAACTGCACCTGTCCCAAGATCTTTGTGCACAAAGTATAGCAACCTCTGCTCCAGATGAACGTACAGGGAGTATTTCTGTCCGTGCAGTGGCTCTGATCTAAATGGGGATGCTTTTTTACAACTCTTAAACCACTAAAATGTGGGATTGTCACCTCTCATGTCAACTGATACTGCTAAACTGTTTTTGTATATGACTTTCTATCGTGCTCGAGTCCAGCACCTTTTCTTCATATTCATTCTTTCATGACAAACATTCTTTTAAATACAATCAATGTCTTCAGAAATTGAACATGTCCAATGTTTTAGCCTAAATGTTTTGTTTTCCATCCTGGCTGGCTTTGAGGAGTCTGTTTAAAAGAGCTTTTAAACCAAATATGGACCAAATATCCCAATTTTTTTCTGTTTTAAATCAGGAATAAACAAACATCAGCTGAGCCTGAAGGCTGTGTTTGGCCTTTGATGGCTGCTCTAAAAACAGTATTTCACATGTTCTGTATTTTTCCTGGTTCTTTAGTTATGGGTAGTGTGAATAGATAGAAATAACTTCATTTTATATGATGATAAAATTGGTTCCTGTGAAAATGTAATTACTTGAAGATGTCTCAGTTGTGCTTCTCACTTTCATTGGAGACACTGAGTTAAGCTACTGGGCGGTGTGTGATTAGTTGATCCTGGAATACAAAATGCCTCAGGGTGTCTGTTCATTATTTAGAATATTTATCCTTAGGTCATCTGGATGATTCCAGATGGAATACATAGTAGGTAAAATTTTACAGTGGGAGCCTTTTACTAAACCTGAAACAGGCAGGTTTAGCAAATCCCAGCCTGCATCTTAGTGGACAGGAACGTGCAAACCATCAGTTTTGATGGAACACCTTGTGGGCAACAATACTTCAGGGGCCAAAACACTGGCAGACTGAGTTACACCAAGGATCTTCCTATGTAATGTGTGGGATAATGTAATACACCTCTCTGTGTTTCCTCATAACATCCAGCCTGAAATCAGACTAGTTCTGTCTAGCAAAACTACTCAAGTTCTTAGCTGAGATGATGCAGGCTTGTTCTTGGTGTAGATTGTGTTGTCAGTTAAGTGCCTGCATGGTTGGTGTGAGGATGCTCTGACAAATTAGAAATACACCTGCAAATACATTTTAAAGATGCTGAAACATCTCACTGCATGAAGTTGACACATATTCAGTCAACTTAGCATGTTTCAAAGCCAACAAAATGTAATTGCAGGTTCTTTCTTCTTTTTGAGGTGTTCCTGCCAAGGAACCCAGCTGGCTGGGTTTTGGAAGATGGTACTTCGACACCTCAGGGTCCTATCTAGAGCGTGCCAGTCATGCCAGACACTTTGCTTGTCAGTTCTTCTCCTCCCACCTTTCAACAGCAGTTGCTGTATTCACGACTAGCCACTTTTCAGCTATGGTTTGTTGCAAGATAGGTAAGATGGCAGATTTGGCTCTAAGTAAAATTCCTTTGGATAGTGGCAAGATTAGCGGATACTTGAAAATTAACTGTTCTACTAGCATGAGAGGAAGAAAATGCCCTTTTTTTTTTTTGCTTTAGAACGTCATGTTATTCTTGCTGTTTGCTTTTTGAATAGTGTGTCATATGAGAATGGCATCTGCCAAATACCAAGCAGGCATTTGAGTTATTTGTGTCGTCATTCTCTATGGAATAAATGGAAGGGGCTTGAGTGAGAGCATACAAGGCAGCCTTCATACAGCAGCCTGTCACTTTGCAAAACAGCTGTGGATTTAATGGAAGTATAAATGAAAAGCAGCTGATAATTAGGCTGCTGGGTGTTTTAGCATTATTATTGTTAATTTCTAAAAATCAATTAGGTAATCAAGAGAGAGCTATTGAGAAGCATGTATTTTTGTTTTTTAATATCCTAAGCAGGGTTCCAGCTGGGTGACATGATAAGTTATAGCTCCTAGTAGGAATTGGATATCAGAAGGTACTCAAGGGTCCCACTGGGCTGAAAGGAAGGAGACTTGATGGACAAGATGGTGTAGTGAAGCTTGATGTTTATTTGTAATAAAGGAACTGTGAAGCTTAGTTAAGGATTTATTTTTTAGCTATACATAGTGTAGAGGAGCTTCTCTACCAGCTGGCAGGTACAAACGTCTAGATGCAAATTTCTGCCATCTACAGATCATAGTGATTTAAGCGATCTTAGATTTAGGAAAAAAAACTCAGTCTTTACTAGTAAGTCTCAGGCTAACTAAACAGAAGATGGCAGTTTCAGAAATGAGTGGGGCTTCAGTCAAATACAAAGGGGAACCTGCAGAAGAACTTAGTGCTTAGAAGATCTTCTTGCACAGGGAGGAGTGGGGGCTTTTGAAACTTCTGTCTCTGATCTACCTCTCTGATGGTTGTGTTAGTATTTTAGAACAATTATCAAATCATACAAGTGTATGAAAAGTAACAGATAATACAGGTATTCCTCCATTTCTGCAGTTACAGGCATCCTAGATAAGGCATTTATCAGTGATTTGGACTTAAGAATTGTAAGACACCGTGACAGAGGGCTTGATGAAGTCTGTTCTTTCAATGTGTGAGTAATTATTCAACTATCAAAACTCCTCTGTGCAATCTAGAGGACATGAGACCTCTTGGTATAAATCAAACTGTAAGACATATCTATATCTGAGTTGAAAACCTTACATAAAAAAGAGGGTCTGAACTTGACATAATTGTCAACATATTAACAGTTCTTTACAATCTGCTTGTTTTGCATTGATATGTGAATTTCCTGAAATTCAGTTTTGAATTCAATTCACATGTGATTTACATGCTTGTACTGAGTCATTTGACTTACACATCTACAAGTTATTAATAAGTGAATGCTCAGGAAAATATGGGCTCTTTCAGCTCCAAAGCCACCCCTCTGTAGTCTGTCAGGGACTTCAACCCTCTCCTCCAGACAAAATGCTGAATTTTCTCTTTGCTCCCCCCAATTCCAATCATCCAATACTTACATGATTTTATTACTCTTTTATAAATAATGTGATTTATATACCTTTTATAGTGAGCATGAGAGCGGCTAAGAAACTTGATTTCTGTGGCAATCCAGTCTCATTTGTGCTTGAAGACGGGCTATTGCATGGTGCTCGTTTCTCTCAGCCTTCCCCATTTATCCAGGCAGCCTCTGCTGCCTTTCCCCGATGGCTCTCTGAGCCACAGAACAGCATTCCAGATCATGCTCTGCTTCCCATAACCTCCCTCCAGATCGCTTAGCCTTTTCTACAGTGTTCGCAATTAAACACTAACAATGAGTTGCATGGGAAAATAGTTCTGCATTACAGCTGAAATGTTGTGCCAGGTCAGCAAGTTTGTGCGCGGCTGACTGCATATCCTTCCTTTGCCAACACAACAGTCATTCTCTCTTTTTCTAGACTGTGAAATACAGAGGTGGTTAAGTGCACTTACCACTATGAGGGGAAGAAGACAGCAGTTTGGTGCAGCAAAATTGAAATTGTTTAAGGGGAACGGGAGCCTTAACAGTCTCTCCTGCCTCTCGCAGTGTGCTTGGGAGAAGCAATCCCTCATTACCTTTGGCTCTTGTTTTGCTGTTTGGGATGCAGCAATAGCGTCTTGAAGTGCCAGATTGGGGATATTGCCACAGCATTGCCTGAGAAGAAAGAGATTGTTTAAAAATGGAGATTAATTCTTTGAGATTTGCCCTGCTTCAGCTATGAATATAGCCCATGCATACAGGCATCTCTCTAATGATAGATCTGACTTGGCATGTGAATGTGGCACTGAATGACAGCTCTATACCAAGCACTGTCCAGATGGCAAGCTCCTGTAAAGCTTTGCTCTTGTTCCTCTCAAACCTAGTTATTAGGATCTTTTGTATCCTCACATGATCAGGCGTGAGAGCAAGTGCTGACTGACAGCAAGGTGAGGGGCAGAAGTGGGGAGGCTCCACAACTGGAGGAAAAAGAAGCTGATTCTTACTGTCTTCCTTGGGTACCTGCCAATAGTTGCTGTCAAAAATAGGATTCTGGTGTAGCTGATCTTGGTCTGTTGTGGCTGAAGCAGAGATGC